ATATGTATATAATGATATTACTAAGGTACAAGTTTGCATTACAAAAAAACGTGGCAACCCTCATGAAAATACTTCTGGATTTAAATTCTCAAAAATACTTTTCATTTGATATCCATATTAAATTGTTTTAGTTAAGAAATAGGTGACAACTCTATTCAAAAATATTACTGAACCGGGTTTTTCAAATACAAATTGAAAATACAAAATGCAAACCGTTATCTGAATACAAAACCTCATCAAAATCGTTACAGCCGTTTCCGAAACACGCCACCGGTGTCGCAGTAAGATGCGTTCCTTTTTATTATCACAGCGAACGGCACTGCACGCGAGCGACGAAAGCAGCCACAGTAGCATGCTGAAATGACTCGCTTATATATACACGGGATTTGGAAGTTTTTATCCAGACGTCCAATGGACATGTTTGAGATATCGTTGGAAAGGTCGTGCAGAGTGTGTCCAGAAAATGTATTCAAGCTACATATGCGATTAACCGGATTCTTAAAAATTAGGCTAAAGTGTTGCGAAACAAAAAACGTTTTTTTGCTTTTGCCGGTTTATGGGGGCATGTGGGCACACCCAACACATTTAGTGTTATTCTATAGGCCAATACCTTTCAAACGATACCTTATATATTAAGTTCCGGCCACTAGTTGGAAAGATATAGAGGTATATGTGTTTTGGTTCGTGTCTCCACTACGAGATGCTTTGGTATGTATGTGGCGTCTGTACGTACCATCATTTAATTTTTTTTCAAACTTTCAGGAATTAAAGTACAAAAAAAACTAAGATGGTTTTGTTCCAGGATGTTTTGATTCGTATGCCTTTGTGGGCGTGGCTGCTGCCTGAATTTCGAAAAAATGCAATTTTTTAAACTACAACTGAAGCCGCAATACTCAGTCCATGTCATTCATGTGGATATCAGTAGAAGGGCCTTCAAACAAGCTATCTAACGCTATCTTTTGTGTTTATGAAATATAAATATGTCATAACCTGATATCGCCTGAAAACTAAAAATCGGGCTGCTGAAAATATAGATTTCGAGAATTTTCTCAAAAACTGGTCAGTCGATTTTATTCTTAGTTTCCACAAATCTAGCCCAAAATCCTAGCTTTCATCTGGTATATAGCTTATATCTGGGAAAACTCTTGTTGTGGAGATATTACGATTCAAATTGAAAAAATGTCGCTCCAAAAAGGGTCAAATGGTTAAAAATTAACATACTCATCTAGTTTGGTTACTTTAAGTTATAAAAATAATAAACCCAGTTCCCCGAAAAAAAATTCCCATTCCCCGATTATCACTTAAACCGAAATTCCCTGCAAATCGGGGAATTTTCCGCGAGTTGACAATTTGAAGGATGCAGCTGTGCCAATCACTTCGTACATGTCTTGGAAACCACAATTTGTGTGTATTTTAGAGTTTTTTTCAGTCATATGCCGAAATTGTAACATTTTCAACGTTTTAATTGTAGTTATGTACACAGTATTTAACTATGCTACATGTGTTTATCACCCGCACTTAACCTACCTGGGAAGACGCGTACAATATTAGCTACACTTGTACATAAATATGTATGTATGAATGCATTTAGTTCACCCAATGTGCCGCTACTACTTACATATACATATATGTAAATTGCCACACGGTCAAAATTTTGGGTTTAATTTTTAAACCGCGCTGGGACTACTGCCTTTTTAAATTTTTTATAGTCTACTTTTTAAACCAGTCAATAGTTTTAAGCAATTTTTAATATGTTCTGGTTTAAATTTTAGTCGAAAAAGTTCGTGGTTTAAAACTCAAACCAAAATGTTTTAATTCTAGTTTCTAGGTTTCATATATAGAAATTTTTGTTTAAAATCTAAACCGAAATAGAAAATGTTTGCACACAGCGAAATGTGGTGTTGATTCAAACTCAACATATGAAAGCACATTTACATGCGTGGCTGTAGTTGAGTGTGCAAAGATGCTTGATACAATTGGTTGCTACCAAGGCTGTCCGGGTTCAATCCCCATCAGACGGAGCATGAAATTTAAGACCTTTTTTATATTCTAAATTATGAAAATGTTTGGGTTATAAATTTAAACCGCACTGTTTAAATTCTAAACCCAACATAGGTGCTCTCTTTTTTTAATCTTGGATGGTTTGTATTTGAAACTGAATTTAGTTTGGTCATATATGTATGTAGTCCAAAAAATTTAAAATTAAAACCGAAACTTTTAACCGTGCACTGAGCAAAACTACTTGAGAAAAAAGCATTAGTTTAATAGCACGAGTGAAACATCGTACACGTGATAGAAGTAAAACTCCTTGTGTGCGCCACACACCCGGTAGAAATCTTAACAAAAATATACTACGAGACAATCACACGAATACAGTTGTTTATTGTATCCAAAGTTGGTACCAAGTTGATAAGATTTTTTCATTTCTCATAATTTGCTTTTAATTTTAATTTTTTCGAATACAGAGGATATGATCATTCCTTTTTGCTTTATTCCGTATACGGAAATTTATGTTTCAATGGACACATCGCTTAGAATACATAATTTAGATTTAGATAATACTTTTAGCAATTTAGTTGAGAAAAATAAAACATTTAGATTATTGTTTGTATTTAGGTCGTTTTTAAATGTGCTACCCCAAAATAATTGATATCAAATAAAACACCTCTTTGAGGTAAAATTTTCGAGTGACGAAAGCTGAACTAGAAAAACAAAATTTATGATATCAATTTCGTGACGAAAATTATACGCATTTTTTAACCGCCTTTGAAACGTGCGGAAAATCCTTTTTTTTTATTTATTCGGAACGTTGCAAAACAGCGCCTACTGCTAGAAACACAAAATAAAAAACAGAACTTTTGCAACGAATCGTATGAATAAATAAAAGGATTTTCCGCACGTTTCAAAGGCAGTTAAAAAATGCGTATAATTTTCGTCACGAAATTGATATCATAAATTTTGTGTTTCTAGTTCAGCTTTCGTCACTCGAAAATTTTACCTCAAAGAGGTGTTTTATTTGATTATTATTACCTCCCTTTTATTAGCTCGGGATGTAACTATGTAATATCGATGCGCCTAAAAGATGCAGTGATTTCTATTCTCAAGTTACATACCTGATCACAGTACGAATGGAAATTATAATAGCGAGGTTTTAGTTTTTTAAACTATAATTTTATTTATTATATTATGTGTGCTCTGAACATCTGTTACCTCGTTTTCATCTTCAGCCGCAGTTTTGACACCATCTGATTGCTGCCTTATTTTCTGAAAGAATTTTTGGGTATTCCCCCTTCCCGCCAGCATCTGAAGCTCGTCTTTCTACATCTGTTTCTTTCTGTTGAAGATTCGCTTCTCTTACCTCTTCCCTGGGCCAAAAGATTTGGATGGAAAACACTAGAGAATTACCTTCCAAACTTTATTTTTTACGGTTTTTGAATACCACTAATGATTTATCTTTTTTTTTATTCCAAAGAGTCTTTCGATAATATGTACATATATGTTAAACTACATACTTACAAAAATGTTTGCATTAAAGGTGAAAACATTGCTGATAATGGAGGTCTGAAAGCGGCTTACCACGCCTTTTTGAAATCTGAAGCAACCAAGGATGCCGATATTTTGAAGTTACCTGGATTAAACCTGACGCACAAACAACTATTTTTCGTATCATTCGCGCAAGTAAGTTCAAGACGTATCCATCAATGAGCGTTGTCTTATGTCCATAAAGAACTTTTAGCGCACAGGAGAGAAATGCTTTAAGAATTGGCACTGAATCGTCTAAAATTTATGAGATTACATTTTTCCTCGATTTCCAGCATTTTACGAACTATGTATATACATAGATGTTTTTTTTCAATTTTTATTAATAACTTGGTATCATAACTTATATTTGTTTAATGATTTTTCTAACCACAGGTATGGTGTTCCAGTACTACCAATGAGACGAGTATTTTGCAAATGGAAAAAGATGCTCATGCGCCGTCGCCATATCGCGTCATTGGAACACTTTCGAATACTTTCGAATTTGCTGATGCCTTTAATTGTAAAGCGAATAGCAAAATGAACCAAAATAAAAAATGTGTAGTGTGGTAATTGTAATTGTTAAAATAAAATGTAATAAAATAATTGATACTTTGTTGTTGTTTTACTACTACGTAAATACACAGAGAGAAAAAATAAACCATTTCCTCTTTTTTTCAAACTAAAACACATACGATATTGCGCCAAACGACCCTTTGTTTTTTTTTAAAGATTTATTTCGTTGTGCACTTCACAGATGCCTTTTCGTGATTAAGAAAAATCGAACAAAATAAAAAATTGCAAGTACCGTCTATATTAGCACCCGACCCGGACCCTCGTGAAAGCCCACAAATAGTATTTTATTTATTTGATTTATTAAATGAAAAATAATAATGAAATTATTATAATAATAATGAAATAATTATTTTACAATTTGAAGGAAAGGAGCACTAGCTGCCAGGGCTTACGGCTCGCTGCTCTAATAAAATTAATTTTTCTAGAAAAGTTAAATTGTTAGAGAATTGGTTGAAAGGAAAAAATACTATATACTACTGATACATTAATTAATACTACATTAAAAATGTGAGTTATTAAATAAATGAATAAAATACACAAGATAATTATATACAAGTCTTTTAAACAAGTAAAAATATATATGAGAATTCAAATCCCTTTCCTTAGGTCTGATTTAATTGATTACGATTTCCCAGATTTTCCGATGAAGGAATTCTCAGCAATTTCGAAGAAACTTGATTATCGAATAACTCTTTCCAGGTGGAAGCAAATTGCGTGCAGTCGTCTAGGAGATGTTTAGCAGTTACTGATGTCGAAGAGAGGTATTGGCAAGGAGGTTACCTCAAACCATTTAAAATATGTGAATATGTTATAAGTTTGTGTGTTATATGGAGGCGGATGAAAGTAGTAATATTATAGGTCCGGCATGCGGTTGGGTAGTTTGTTTTACTACCGGTAGGAACAACATGTGTGAAGTTGTCCTGGAAAGTATTCCATTCCACAGTTCTTTTGATATTGAGGTATTCATTGGTAAAAGAGAAAATGTCTTTGTTCACCATATAATCAAAAGTGTGAAGTGGTTCAGTTGCGGCCAGGGTGGGCAAAAACTCGGAGTTCGAGCGAGCGAGCGAGCAAACTCCTACTCAATGCCTCGCAGACAACGAGGCGCTCGCAGCTCGTACTCGTAGCAGCAATGAGGCGAGGCTCGCGCTCCTATTAAACGAGCGAGGCTGTTGCGTGTTGCCTCGCTTGCAGTGCGAGGCGAGTAGCTGTCTGTATACTCNTCTAGGAAAGACGAATGAGCGACGAGCGAGCGCTCCTAGTGTACTATACAACACATGCAATTTTGTGCATAAAAATGTGGGAATGTATGTCAATAGATTATGTACGAAAGTATGTTAATAATTGTATGTACATATGCATATATATATGTGAAGTATTATATTAGGGCAGCATTTAAAACAACAAATAAAATTGATTACATACATAAGCATAGATTATGGAATGAATTATTTTTTAGAGTTATATTCATACATGTGTACACACATAACATGCATATTTATATATGTTTGTATGTACGTATTTATGTATATATGCATTTATATATGTATGTACATATGCATGTATTTTGTCTTTACAGAGAAAAGTAAGTAACGAAGATATTATAATCGTTTGTGCCGCAGAAACAAAAAACAAGTAAGCACTTGTTAACACCCCCAAAATAGTTTGCTACTTGTAGCAGTTATGCTGTATACCTGAATGAAATATAGTCCTTGGTGAAAAAATTTATTTGTGGCCTGTTGTTCAAGGACATATGTACATATGTATGCATGTATATATGGATATGTAGACATGGGAAAATTTGCGTAAACAAAGAATAGAGACCGGTTCGCATACAACTTTGGCGTTGCGTTGGAGTCGAATTTCAAAGCAGCCAGCTGTTGCAAATAAATAAAATAAAATGAAATGTTTTTTCCTGTTAATCAAATGAAGGCAAGAAATATAATTTTTCATGCAATTATTGATATGAAATATTAATTTATCTCTCGTTAATATGTTAATTTACTGGCCAAAGTAGTCTCTGCCAAGCTTCATTGTAGAACGCATTCTTTTAACTTGCGTTCTCTCAAACCAACGCCTACTAACCAGCCTAAATTATCAAATAGTGGTTTGTATTATCCTACATACATACATACGTATGGGGGCTAAACCAGGAATATTCATTTGAAAGTGCTGATGTCCTACTCATTTATGAAATGAAAGACAAAATAATGATTTTTATAAATATATATTCTCCTTTATACATATGTAACATAGTTACTTAGCCAAATTACTAAGTAATTACTTGTATGTAAGAATACAAAGACAAATTATTTATGAGAAGCATTGCCCCTTACATATTGAAAAAAAGTAATAAAAGCTCTCAAAAAAGCAAAATCGCTACAGCGAAAAAAGTGTTTGAAAAACCGCATAAATTCAAATCCGCATAAAAAAGAACCGCATAAAAAGAGACCTAAGTGTATAAGTTGAAATTTTATAAGAAATTATTGAACATTAAAAACAATATACCTACATAGGTATGTATGTACATATGTGCTTACCTAGTAGATAAAACTGGTCAAAATAGCACGAATCTATTCTTCTGTGCATGAGAATATATACATAAATATATACAAACATATGATGTGCTCGTTTACTCGCCTCATCTGCCACGCTCGTTTACTCGCCTCGCTCATCTGCTGCTGCAAATGAGTGCCTCGCTCGCAACGACGGCCTCGCGAGGCCGCTCTACTCTTGCGCTGCCCTCGTTTGCTTACTCGCTCGCTGGCTGCGCAGTGCGTGCGCTCGTACTTAACGAGTGCTCGTTTGCAAACAGCCTCGTTTGTTGCTCGTGAGTTGCGCTAGCTCAGAGCAAACTAACGAGCGGGCGAGGGGCTAAAATGAGGCAAATCCGAACCCTGGTTGCGGCTTCTTTTGCTTTTTGATCAGCAAACTCGTTGCCTTTTATTCCGGCGTGACTAGGAATCCACATACCTAATTTTAATTTGATATTGGTTTTCTATTGGTGGCGAGCTGCTTTGGGGGCCGGAATCGAGGTGGTGGCGTTAATCCTTTTTTTTTTTTTGGTGTACTCTAAACATCTCAAAATCGTTGATTTGCGAGCATTCAATGCTGCTAAAGAGGATTCAAGCAAGATGCTGTTGTAGCACATGAACAATTTTGGAATAAGCCGCATAGTTGTATACTCTTTCTTGGATGCTAGGCAGCCCAGTTTCCGCGAAAATGCAATAAGTGGGTGATGTAGGAAAGACTCTGGTCTACTTCGAACAGCTGCGTGGTAAACAGGCGATACCAGTTTCATGTTTCTCATTCCGCACAGGTTATATATGGGTAAACCATAATACATTTTTAAGAGGATCAGGGATCTCGTAATGTCTAGTAAACTCGTTGTATGAATAACTCTGTGTTTGAATGACATATTAGAGATGGGCGATCTCGTGACTTTTGAGGAACAATAGCATTTGTGACTGTGACTTTGCAGTCACAGTGATTTTCATCCGTGACTGTGACGAGGACAGTCACAAAAAAGTTGCAAAACATAAATCTTTTACCGAGTGTACTAAGGACCATTATTCATTTATTTGACATCATTTTATTTTCGTCGTTTCTTTTGGGTCATTCGCACTCGTTTTTAATGGTGTGAAATTCTAATATCAAACAACATTGATCAGATTTTAGTCTTAGACTATGTTCAAACAGGCCAATTAGCTGAGGCAATTAAGCTCTAAATTGCGGCATTGAGTTTGGTGTTCACACACACGTCAGCTGCCCAATTAGCGATACGAAATCAGCTTTTGGATTACCTACAGTGATGGAAAAGTTGTTACAATCGTACCTTTATTTAGTTTGAAAGTAAATTCGGTACAAGCACAAACTTTAGGTACCTTTGGAACNAATTCGGTACAAGCACCAACTTTAGGTACCTTTGGAACGTAGCCAAACAGCTTCTCAGGATATCAGTTCCTATTTTTACTGACATTTCAATGTATTTTCTGGTGCGGGCAACTGGTCTAAAGTTTCCCTCCTTTGGGAAGACGCATACAAATGATATAGAAGGGTGGTCAAAGTAACGCAACTGCAGTTGATTTCGCCAGATAGATGCAAAATATTTCTTTTTAAAATGTCAGATCGAACAACTCTGAGGAAAGTGCTTCACCTTTTCTACAACATAGTTTTGTCTCGCGCTACTCGAAGAGAATCTTTTCATAGCCAAAAATTTGTTTAATGTGAGTACAGAAGTTGATATGGCATCGATGGGAATTGTTACCTCCTATTTTTCTTTATATATAAATACATATTTACTTTTTAGGTACATCTATCTACTTTAAGGGTAAAGTTTACGTAAATTAGATACAATTTTATAATTAAATTTTCCATCCCTGATGGAATATCAGCTGTAAAAGAGGAAAAGAGGACCAGAAACAAACAGCTGATTGCTCTTTGTTCTATAAACATACCTCCAAGTCAAAATTAAACATACCTAGCAGGGTTGCATAGAGAATCTGACACAAATAATTTGAATTTTGTATGATAAAATGGGTAACAATTAAGGCTTAAATTGGTAAAAGGTTCTTAATTGCCAATTGGGTGCCTGTTTGAACATAGTCTTAAAAAACCTGTGATTATAAGGAAATTTCTTAAGGTTAAGTAAATGCGACTACTACTTTATGACAGTCACAGTTCGCGACTGTGACCAGTACTGTTATTAAGGCGCAATCCTGCTTCTAAAATACCAGTGCTGCTGTTATTTTGTAAGTCTGTCACTGTGGCTTTTTGGAAGTTCACAGCAGTTACCCGTGACTTTTGAGTAACCGTGACATAGTCAAGGTACGCAAATATCTTCCACCTATATGGTATCTGTCATGTCAATATTTAGTCTGGCAGCTAGGCTTTTTCTTAGCCATAAACAATGTTCCTTAAATGTAAGACGCTTATCAAAGATAACACAGGTTTACAAAAAAAAAGCGTATGCCTATTAAACCAAACCTATATATCCCTATGTTATTCGACACGCTGAATGCAAATCCGAAGTCCGTTAGTCTGCACCACGTCAGGTTCGTGGTCAGTTGAAGGTCAAGTACGGAAAAATTAATTGAATAAGTCTGAAAATTCATATACATAAGGTTTTACATTCGCTGAACCCGAATCCGAGGTTCGTTAACATCTATAATGTCAGCTTCGAGGTCATGTAAAGGTCAAATAAAGTGAATTTTATTGAATTTTCAGGTTTATTCAATGAATTTTTCCCTACTTGACCTTCAAATGACCACGAACCTGACGTGATGGAGGCTAACGGACCTCGGATTCGCATTCAGCCTATCGTATAACATTGGGATATATAGGTTTGGTTTAATATGCATACACTTTTTTTTGAAAACCTGTGGAACTCCTATAAATTGAATACTATACCTTTTCAAGTTTATAAAGAGAAAATAAAATTGATAATGAGAAATGAAAATTCATATTGGGAATATACAAATTGATAATGAAAAATGTAAATTCACTTTGAGAAAGTACAAATTGATAATGAGAAATGTAAATTCATAATGAGAATATATAATTTGATAATGAAAAATGTAAATTGATATTGAGAAAGTACATATTGATAATGAGAAATATAAATTCATATTCAGAAAATACAAATTGATAATGAGAAATAAGTAGTCCACTTGCAAACAGCGTTATGTGATTTTATAATAGTAAGCCATAAATTTAAAAAAAAACGTCTACATGAACAGGTAACATCCAACTTGTATATTTCTTTTTATTATCTGAAAATTGTGATAAATAAGAGCCTAATAACATTAAAAAATAAAGTCGCAGTCTGGTAGTTTTTGCAAATTGTATATATAAAAATTTAATATACCGAGTTTTGAAACAGTAACTTTTATATAGCTAGCCTTTTTCAGCTTTTCGCGTTCTCTCTTCCATGAAGGTTGGTCTGCTTCTTTTTTAGGACGTCTTCCACTAGGCACCGAAATTACCACGTTTTCTTGCAGTTTTCTAAGTTCATCAGAATATGGAGACTTTCGAGCTTATATAAATAAGTACAATAAATATTATAGCGACTTTTGAAAGTGTATCACAGCGCACGGCAGTGCGCGTAAGTGAAGAAAGCAGCCACAGTAGTATGCTGAAATGACTCGCTTATATATACACGAGATTTGGAAGTTTTTATCCAGACGTCCAATCGACATGTTTGAGATATCGTTGGAAAGGTCTTGCAGAGTGTGTCCAGAAAATGTGTTCAAGCTTCATAAACGATTAACCGGATTCTTAGAAATTAGGCTAAGTATTGCGAAACCAAAAACGTTTTTTGACTTTTGCCGGTTTAAGTGGGCATGTGGGTACACCCAACATATTTAGTGTTATTCTGCCACTACCTTTCAAACGATACCTTATATATTACGCTCCGGTTACTAGTTGGAAAGATATAGAGGTAAATGTGTTTTGGTTCGTGTCTCTACGAGATGCTTTGGTATGTATGTGGCGTCTGTACGTACCTTCATTTAATTTCTTTCAAACTTTCAGGAATTAAAGAACAAAAAATGCGTATAATTTTCGTCACGAAATTGATATCATAAATTTTGTGCTTCTTGTTCAGCTTTCGTCACTCGAAAATTTTACCTCAAAGAGGTGTTTTATTTGATTATTATTACCTCCCTTTTATTAGCTCGGGATGTAACTATGTAATATCGATGCGCCTAAAAGATGCAGTGATTTCTATTCTCAAGTTACATACCTGATCACAGTACGAATGGAAATTATAATAGCGAGGTTTTAGTTTTTTAAACTATAATTTTATTTATTATTATATGTGTGCTCTGGACATCTGTTACCTCGTTTTCATCTTCAGCCGCAGTTTTGACACCATCTGATTGCTGCCTTATTTTCTGAAAGAATTTTTGGGTATTACCCCTTCCCGCCAGCATCTGAAGCTCGTCTTTCTACATCTGTTTCTTTCTGTTGAAAATTCGCCTCTCTTACCTCTTCCCTGGGCCAAAAGATTAGGATGGAAAACACTAGAGAATTACCTTCCGAACTTTATTTTTTACGGTTTTATTCCAAAGAGTCTTTCGATAATATGTACATATATGTTAAACTACATACTTGCAAAAATGTTTGCATTAAAGGTGAAAACATTGCTGATAATGGAGGTCTGAAAGCGGCTTACCACGCCTTTTTGAAATCTGAAGCAACCAAGGATGCCGATATATTGAAGTTACCTGGATTAAACCTGACGCACAAACAACTATTTTTCGTATCATTCGCGCAAGTAAGTTCAAGACGTATCCATCAATGAGCGTTGTCTTATGTCCATAAAGAACTTTTAGCGCACAGGAGAGAAATGCTTTAAGAATTGGCACTGAATCGTCTAAAATTTATGAGATTACATTTTTCCTCGATTTCCAGCATTTTACGAACTATGTATATACATTAGACTGCATCACTCCCCATACAAAAAAAAATCGGTACTATTTTTCCATTGGAATTATAAAATCTACTATATTTTAAGGCGTCCCCCAAAATATTTCGGAAAAATATTAAGATTTAAGTGAGCTGGACCGATTTGAAAATACCTCCAAAAATGGTTTTTTTTATGAATAAAAATAGTTTCTTAAAGATTTTTTTGGAAAAAATGCTGTCAAATGACAAAACGGGTTAAGCTTAAAATATTTGCATAAAAATATTTAAACAAAAATTAAAAAAAAATTTTACGGAATCGCAATGATGATGCTGTTTTTAACATTTTTCAAAGATTAGTATAAGAAAAACTTGAATAACTGAACCCAAACTCTTCCGATTTAGACTTAAGAGGTGTCATTGGAAAGGTATTTTCTCACCCTTTTCATTTATTTGTTAATAAACTTATTCAAAGGATGGAAGAGAAAGGTAGGAGAAACGAACCTCATTCAAAGTTGAATTAAGAAGTTTTGGTATTCGAAAAAAAAGATGGGACACGAATGACGTTTCTTTTGGCCAGAAATATAAACGGTGTGAAAATACCTTTCTACTGAGATCCCATAAGTCTAAATCAGAACATTTTTGGCCCAGTTATTCAAGTTTTCCGTAAATCAATCTTTGAAAAAAGTAAAGAAACAGCATCAAAAATCTCATTCTTACGATTCCGTTGAAAAAATTTTTAAATATTTCTATGTAGATTTTTAAGCTTATTCTAATTTGTCATCAGAGGTGACTTTTTTCAAAAAGTTATTTAAGAAACTATTTTTATTCATAAAAAACTTATGGCCTTATTCATAAAAAATAAAGTAGGTTTAAAGAGCTTTATAAATTGACGTTTTCATACATTTTTCAATTTGTAAACCTTTTATAAAGCTACTTTATTTTTTATGAATAAGGCCATTAATTTTTGGAGGTATTTTCAAATCGGTCCAGCTCACTTAAATCTTAATATTTTTACGCAATATTTTGGTGGACGTCTTAAAATATAATAAATTTAGTAATCCCGGCGGAAAAACTTCAACTTTTTTTGGTGATGCAGTCTAATATACATAGATGTTTTTTTTTTAATTTTTATTAATAACTTGGTATCATAACTTATATTTGTTTAATGCTTTTTCTAACCCCAGGTATGGTGTTCCAGTACTACCAATGAGACGAGTATTTTGCAAATGGAAAAGGATGCTCATGCGCCGTCGCCATATCGCGTCATTGGAACACTTTCGAATACTTTCGAATTTGCTGATGCCTTTAATTGTAAAGAGAATAGCAAAATGAACCAAAATAAAAAATGTGTAGTGTGGTAATTGTAATTGTTAAAATAAAAAGTAATAAAATAATTGATACTTTGTTGTTGTTTTCTTCTTCTTCTTATTTGGCGCAGTAACCGCCTAAGCGATTTTGGCCGAGTCCAAAACAGCACGCCAGTCATTTCTCTTCTGTGCTAACTGACGCCAATTGAAA